TTCCACAGGACCAACTGGCCGGTTGGTCCAACCGGTCCACAGGACCAACTGGCCGGTTGGTCCACCCGGTCCACAGGACCAACTGGCCGGGTTGGTCCAACCGGTCCACAGGACCAACAGGCCGGTGGTCCAACCGGTCCACATGACCAACTGGCCGGTTGGTCCAACCGGTCCACAGGACCAACTGGCCGGTGGTCCAACGGTCCACAGGACCAACTGGCCGGTTGGTCCAACCGGTCCACAGGACCAACTGGCCGGTTGGCCAACCGGTCCACAGGACCAACTGGCGGTTGGTCCAACCGGTCCACAGGACCAACTGGCCGGTTGGTCCAACCGGTCCACAGGACCAACTGGCCGGTTGGTCCAACCGGTCCACAGGACCAACTGGCCGGTTGGTCCAACGGTCCACAGGACCAACAGGCCGGTTGGTCCAACCGGTCCACAGGACCAAAATGGCCGGTTGGGTCAACCGGTCCACAGGACCAACTGGCCGGTTGGTCCAACGGTCCACAGGACAAACTGGCCGGTTGGTCCAACCGGTCCACAGGACCAACTGGCCGGTTGGTCCAAACCGGTCCACAGGACCAACAGGCCCGGTTGGTCCAACCGGTCCACAGGACCAACTGGCCGGTTGGTCCAACCGGTCCACAGGACCAACAGGGCGGTTGGTCCAACCGGTCCACAGGACCAACTGGCCGGTTGGTCCAACCGGTCCACAGGACCAACTGGCCGGTTGGTCAAACCGGTCCACAGGACCAACAGGCCGGTTGGTCCAACCGGTCCACAGGACCAACTGGCCGGTTGGTCCAACCGGTCCACGGACCAACAGGCCGGTTGGTCCAACCGGTCCACAGGACCAACAGGCCGGTGGTCCAACCGGTCCACAGGACCAACAGGCCGGTTGGTCCAACGGTCCACAGGACCAACAGGCCGGTTGGTCAAACCGGTCCACAGGACCAACTGGCCGGTTGGTCCAACCGGTCCACAGGACCAACTGGCCGGTTGGTCCAACCGGTCCACAGGACCAACTGGCCGGTTGGTCCAACCGGTCCACATGACCAACTGGCCGGTTGGTCCAACCGGTCCACAGGACCAACTGGCCGGTTGGTCCAACCGGTCCACATGACCAACTGGCCGGTTGGTCCAACCGGTCCACAGGACCAACAGGCCGGTTGGTCCAACCGGTCCACAGGACCAAAGGCCGGTTGGTCCACGGTCCACAGGACCAACAGGCCGGTTGGTCCAACCGGTCCACAGGACCAACTGGCCGGTTGGTCCAAACGGTCCACAGGACCAACAGGCCGGTTGGTCCAACCGGTCCACAGGACCAACTGGCCGGTTGGTCCAACCGGTCCACAGGACCAACTGGCCGGTTGGTCCAACCGGTCCACAGGACCAACAGCCGGTTGGTCCAACCGGTCCACAGGACCAACTGGCCGGTTGGTCCAACCGGTCCACAGGACCAACAGGCCGGTTGGTCCAACCGGTCCACAGGACCAACTGGCCGGTTGGTCCAACCGGTCCACAGGACCAATGGCCGGTTGGTCCAACCGGTCCACAGGACCAACAGGCCGGTTGGTCCAACCGGTCCACAGGACCAACTGGCGGTTGGTCCAACCGGTCCACAGGACCAACTGGCCGGTTGGTCCAACCGGTCCACAGGACCAACAGGCCGGTTGGTCCAACCGGTCCACAGGACCAACTGGCCGGTTGGTCCAACCGGTCCACAGGACCAACTGGCCGGTTGGTCCAACCGGTCCACAGGACCAACAGGCCGGTTGGTCCAACCGGTCCACAGGACCAACTGGCCGGTTGGTCCAACCGGTCCACAGGACCAACAGGCCGGTTGGTCCAACCGGTCCACAGGACCAACTGGCCGGTTGGTCCAACCGGTCCACAGGACCAACTGGCCGGTTGGTCCAACCGGTCCACAGGACCAACAGGCCGGTTGGTCCAACCGGTCCACAGGACCAACTGGCCGGTTGGTCCAACCGGTCCACAGGACCAACTGGCCGGTTGGTCCAACCGGTCCACAGGACCAACTGGCCGGTTGGTCCAACCGGTCCACAGGACCAACAGGCCGGTTGGTCCAACCGGTCCACAGGACCAACTGGCCGGTTGGTCCAACCGGTCCACAGGACCAACAGGCCGGTTGGTCCAACCGGTCCACAGGACCAACTGGCCGGTTGGTCCAACCGGTCCACAGGACCAACAGGCCGGTTGGTCCAACCGGTCCACAGGACCAACAGGCCGGTTGGTCCAACCGGTCCACAGGACCAACAGGCCGGTTGGTCCAACCGGTCCACAGGACCAACTGGCCGGTTGGTCCAACCGGTCCACAGGACCAACTGGCCGGTTGGTCCAACCGGTCCACAGGACCAACTGGCCGGTTGGTCCAATCCGGGTCCACAGGACCAACATGGCCGGTTGGTACCAACCGGTCCACGAGGACCTAACTGGCCGGTTGGTCCAACCGGTCCACCAGGGACCAACCTGGCCGGGTTGGTCCAACCGTTCCCACAGGACCAACTGTGCCGTGTTGGATCCAACCGGTCCACATGACCTAACTGGTCCGGGCTTGGTCCAACAGGTCCACTAGGACCAACTGGCCGGGTTGGTACCAACCGGGTCCACAGACCAACTGGCCGGTTGGTCCAACCGGTCCACAGGACCAAATGGCCGGTGTGGTCTAACCGGTCCACAGGACCAACATGGCCGGTTGGACAACCGGGTCCACACAGGACCAACAGCCGTTGTCCCACCGGCCTGACCAACTGGCCGGTGGCTCCAACGGTGGCCCACAGGACCAACATGGCCGGTTGGACCAACCGGTCCACAGGACCAACTGGCCGGTTGGTCCAACCGGTCCCAAGGACCAACTGGCCGGGCTTGGTCAAACCGGTGCCACAGGACCAACAAGGCAGGGTTGGATCCAACCGGTCCACAGGACCAACTGGCCGGTTGGTCCAACCGGTCCACAGGACCAACAGGCCGGTTGGTCCAACCGGTCCACAGGGACCCAACTGGCCGGTTGGTCCAACCGGTCCACAGGACCAACTAGGCCGGTTGGTCCAACCGTGTCCACAGGACCAACGGGCCGGTTGGTCCAACCGGTCCACAGGACCACTGGCCGGTTGGTCCACCGGTCCACAGGACCAACGGCCGTTGGTCCAACCGGTCCACAGGACCAACGGGCCGGTTGGTCCAACCGGTCCACAGGACCAACAGGCCGGTTGGTCCAACCGGTCCACAGGACCAACAGGCCGGATTGGTCAACCGGTCCACAGGACCAACTGGCCGGTTGGTCCAAACCGGTCCACAGACCAACTGGCCGGTTGGTCCAACCGGTCCACAGGACCAACTGGCCGGTTGGTCCACCGGTCCACAGGACCAACAGGCCGGTTGTCCAACCCGGTCCACAGGACCAACATGCCGGTTGGTCCAACCGTCCACAGGACCAACTGGCCGGTTGGTCCAACCGTTCCACAGGACCAACTGGCCGGTTGGTCACCGTCCACAGGACCAACTGGCCGGTTGGGACCGCAACCGGTCCACAGGACCAACAGGCCGGTTGGTCCAACCGTCCACAGGACCAACTGGCCGGTTGGTCCAACCGGTCCACAGGACCAACAGGCCGGTTGGTCCCAACCGGTCCACAGGACCAACAGGCCGGTTGGTCCAACCGGTCCACAGGACCAACAGGCCGGTTGGTCCCAACCGGTCCACAGGACCAACAGGCCGGTTGGTCCAACCGTGTCCACAGGACGCAACATGGCCGGTTGGTCCAACCGGTCCACAGGACCAACAGGCCGGTTGGTCCAACCGGTCCACAGGACCAACAGGCCGGTTGGTCCAACCGGTCCACAGGACCAACAGGCCGGTTTGGTCCAACCGGTCCACAGGACCAACAGGCCGGTTGGTCCAACCGGTCCACAGGACCAACAGGCCGGTTGGTCCAACCGGTCCACAGGACCAACATGGCCGGTTGGTCAACCGGTCCACAGGACCAACAGGCAGGGTTGGTCCAACCGGTCCACAGGACCAACTGGCCGGTTGGTCCAAACCGGTCCACAGGACCAACAGGCCGGTGGTCCAACCGGTCCACAGGACCAACAGGCGGTTGGTCCAACCGGTCCCACAGGACCAACATGGCCGGTTGGGTCCAACCGGTCCACAGGACCAACAGGCCGGTTAGGATCCAAATCCGGTCCACAGGACCAACATGGCCGGTTGGTCCAACCGGTCCACAGGACCAACAGGCCGGTTGGTCCAACCGGTCCACAGGACCAACTGGCCGGTTGGTCCAACCGGTCCACAGGACCAACTGGCCGTTGGTCCAACCGGTCCACAGGACCAACTGGCCGGTTGGTCCAACCGGTCCACAGGACCAACAGGCCGGTTGGTCCAACCGGTCCACAGGACCAACAGGCCGGTTGGTCCAACCGGTCCACAAGGACCAACAGGCCGGTTGGTCCAACCGGTCCCACAGGACCAACAGGCCGGTTGGTCCAACCGGTCCACAGGACCAACAGGCCGGTTGGTCCAAACCGGTCCACAGGACCAACTGGCCGGTTGGTCCAACCGGTCCACAGGACCAACATGGCCGGTTGGATCCAACCGGTCCACAGGACCAACAGGCCGGTTGGTCCAACCGGTCCACAGGACCAACTGGCCGGTTGGTCCAACCGGTCCACAGGACCAACAGGCCGGTTGGTCCAACCGGTCCACAGGACCAACAGGCCGGTTGGTCCAACCGGTCCACAGGACCAACTGGCCGGTTGGTCCAACCGGTCCACAGGACCAACTGGCCGGTTGGTCCAACCGGTCCACAGGACCAACTGGCCGGTTGGTCCAACCGGTCCACAGGACCAACAGGCCGGTTGGTCCAACCGGTCCACAGGACCAACTGGCCGGTTGGTCCAACCGGTCCACAGGACCAACAGGCCGGTTGGTCCAACCGGTCCACAGGACCAACAGGCCGGTTGGTCCAACCGGTCCACAGGACCAACAGGCCGGTTGGTCCAACCGGTCCACAGGACCAACTGGCCGGTTGGTCCAACCGGTCCACAGGACCAACTGGCCGGTTGGTCCAACCGGTCCACAGGACCAACTGGCCGGTTGGTCCAACCGGTCCACAGGACCAACTGGCCGGTTGGTCCAACCGGTCCACAGGACCAACAGGCCGGTTGGTCCAACCGGTCCACAGGACCAACTGGCCGGTTGGTCCAACCGGTCCACAGGACCAACAGGCCGTTGGTCCAACCGGTCCACAGGACCAACAGGCCGGTTGGTCCAACCGGTCCACAGGACCAACAGGCCGGTTGGTCCAACCGGTCCACAGGACCAACTGGCCGGTTGGTCCAAACCGGTCCACAGGACCAACTGGCCGGTTGGTCCAAACCGGTCCACAGGACCAACAGGCCGGTTGGACCAACCGGTCCACAGGACCAACTGGCCGGTTGGTCCAACCGGTCCACAGGACCAACATGGCCGGTTGGTCCAACCGGTCCACAGGACCAACTAGGCCGGTTGGTCCAACCGGTCCACATGACCAACTGGCCGGTTGGTCCAACCGGTCCACAGGACCAACAGGCCGGTTGGTCCAACCGGTCCACAGGACCAACATGGCCGGTTGGTCCAACCGGTCCACATGACCAACTGGCCGGTTGGTCCAACCGGTCCACAGGGACCAACTGGCCGGTTGGTCCAACCGGTCCACAGGACAACTGGCCGGTTGGTCCACCGGTCCCACAGACCACTGGCCGGTTGGTCCAACCGTCCACAGGACCAACTGGCCGGTTGGTCAACCGGTCCACAGGACCAACAGGCCGGTTGGTCCAACCGGTCCACAGGACCAACAGGCCGGTTGGTCCAACCGGTCCACAGGACCAACTGGCCGGTTGGTCAACCGGTCCACAGGACCAACAGGCCGGTTGGTACCAACCGGTCCACAGGACCAACAGGCCGGTTGGTCCAACCGGTCCACAGGACCAACTGGCCGGGTTGGACCAACCGGTCCACAGGGACCAACTGGCCGTTGGTCCAACCGGTCCACAGGACCAACTGGCCGGTTGGTCAAACCGGTCCACAGGACCAACAGGCCGGTTGGACCAACCGGTCCATAGGACCAACTGGCCGTTGGTCCAACCGGTCCACAGGACCAACTAGGCCAGTTGGGACCAACCGGTCCACAGGACCAACAGGCCGGTTGGTCAAACCGGTCCACAGGACCACAGGCCGGTTGGACCAACCGGTCCACAGGACCAACAGGCCGGTTGGTCCAACCGGTCCACAGGACCAACTGGCCGGTTGGTCCACCGGGGCCACAGGACCAACTGGCCGGTTGGTCCAACCGGTCCACAGGACCAACTGGCCGGTTGGTCAAACCGGTCCACAGGACCAACGGCCGGTTGGTCCAACCGGTCCACAGGACCAACTGGCCGGTTGGTCCAAACCGGTCACATGACCAACGGGCCCGGTGGTCCAAACCGGTCCCACATGACCAACAGGCCGGTTGGTCCAACCGGTCCACAGGACCAACTGGCCGGTTGGTCCAACCGGTCCACAGGACCAACTAGGCCGGTTGGTCCAACGGTCCAACAGGACCAACTGCCGGTTGGTCCAACCGGTCCACAGGACCAACAGGCCGGTTGGTCCAACCGGTCCACAGGACCAACTGGCCGGTTGGTCCAACCGGTCACAGGACCAACAGGCCGGTTGGACCAACCGGTCCACAGGACCAACATGGCCGGTTGGTCCAACCGGTCCACAGGACCAATCGGCCGGTTGGTCCAACCGGTCCACAGGACCAACAGGCCGGTTGGTCCAACCGGTCCACAGGACCAACAGGCCGGTTGGTCCAACCGGTCCACAGGACCAACTGGCCGGTTGGTCCAACCGGTCCACAGGACCAACTGGCCGGTTGGTCCAACCGGTCCACAGGACCAACTGGCCGGTTGGTCCAACCGGTCCACAGGACCAACTGGCCGGTTGGTCCAACCGGTCCACAGGACCAACTGGCCGGTTGGTCCAACCGGTCCACAGGACCAACAGGCCGGTTGGTCCAACCGGTCCACAGGACCAACAGGCCGGTTGGTCCAACCGGTCCACAGGACCAACTGGCCGGTTGGTCCAACCGGTCCACAGGACCAACAGGCCGGTTGGTCCAACCGGTCCACAGGACCAACTGGCCGGTTGGTCCAACCGGTCCACAGGACCAACTGGCCGGTTGGTCCAACCGGTCCACAGGACCAACTGGCCGGTTGGTCCAACCGGTCCACAGGACCAACTGGCCGGTTGGTCCAACCGGTCCACAGGACCAACAGGCCGGTTGGTCCAACCGGTCCACAGGACCAACAGGCCGGTTGGTACCAACCGGTCCACAGGACCAACTGGCCGGTTGGTCCAACCGGTCCACAGGGACCAACTGGCCGGTTGGTCCAACCGGTCCACAGGACCAACTAGGCCGGTTGGTCCAACCGGTCCACAGGACCAACTGGCCGGTTGGTCCAACCGGTCCACAGGACCAACTGGCCGGTTGGTCCAACCGGTCCACAGGACCAACTGGCCGGTTGGTCCAACCGGTCACACAGGACCAACTGGCCGGTTGGTCCAACCGGTCCACAGGACCAACTGGCCGGTTGGACCAACCGGTCCACAGGACCAACTAGGCCGGTTGGTCCAACCGGGTCCACATGACCAACTGGCCGGTTGGTCCAACCGGTCCACAGGACCAACTGGCCGGTTGGTCCAACCGGTCCACAGGACCAACTGGCCGGTTGGTCCAACCGGTCCACAGGACCAACAGGCCGGTTGGTCCAACCGGTCCACAGGACCAACTGGCCGGTTGGTCCAAACCGGTCCACAGGACCAACAGGCCGGTTGGTCCAACCGGTCCACATGACCAACTGGCCGGTTGGTCCAACCGGTCCACAGGACCAACTGGCCGGTTGGTCCAACCGGTCCAGGACCAACAAGGCCGGTTGGTCCAACCGGTCACAGGACCAACGGCCGGTTGGTCCAACCGGTCCACAGGACCAACAGGCCGGTTGGTCAACCGGTCCACAGGACCAACATGGCCGGTTGGTCCAACCGGTCCACAGGACCAACTGGCCGGTTGGTCCAAACCGGTCCACAGGACCAACAGGCCGGTTGGTCCAACCGGTCCACAGGACCAACTGGCCGGTTGGTCCAACCGGTCCACAGGACCAACTGGCCGGTTGGTCCAACCGGTCCACAGGACCAACAGGCCGGTTGGTCCAACCGGTCCACAGGACCAACAGGCCGGTTGGTCCAACCGGTCCACAGGACCAACTGGCGGTTTGGTCCAACCGGTCCACAGGACCAACAGGCCGGTTGGTCCAACGGTCCCACAGACCAACAGGCCGGTTGGATCCAACCGGTCCACAGGACCAACTGGCCGGTTGGTCCAACCGGTCCACAGGACCAACTGGCCGGTTGGTCCAACCGGTCCACAGGACCAACAGGCCGGTTGGCCGGTTGGTCCAACCGGTCCACAGGACCAACTGGCCGGTTTGTCCAACCGGTCCCACAGGACCAACATGGCCGGTTGGTCCAACCGGTCCACAGGACCAACAGGCCGGTTGGTCCAACCGGTCCACAGGACCAACAGGCCGGTTGGTCCAACCGGTCCACAGGACCAACTGGCCGGTTGGTCCAACCGGTCCAACAGGACCAACTAGGCCGGTTGGTCCAACCGGTCCACAGGACCAACTGGCCGGTTGGATCCAACCGGTCCACAGGACCAACTGGCCGGTTGGTCCAAACGGTCCACAGGACCAACTGGCCGGTTGGTCCCAACCGGTCCACAGGACCAACTGGCCGGTTGGTCCAACCGGTCCACAGGACCAACTGGCCGGTTGGTCAAACCGGTCCACAGGACCAACATGGCCGGTTGGACCAACCGGTCCACAGGACCAACTAGGCCGGTTGGTCCAACCGGTCCACAGGACCAACTGGCCGGTTGGTCCAACCGGTCCACAGGACCAACAGGCCGGTTGGACCAACCGGTCCACAGGACCAACTGGCCGGTTGGTCCAACCGGTCCACAGGACCAACAGGCCGGTTGGTCCAACCGGTCCACAGGACCAACTGGCCGGTTGGTCAACCGGTCCACAGGACCAACAGGCCGGTTGGTCCAACCGGTCCACAGGACCAACAGGCCGGTTGGTCCAACCGGTCCACAGGACCAACAGGCCGGTTGGTCCAACCGGTCCACATGACCAACTGGCCGGTTGGTCCAAACCGGTCCACAGGACCAACTGGCCCGGTTGGTCCAACCGGTCCACAGGACCAACTGGCCGGTTGGTCCCAACCCGGTCCACAGGACCAACTGGCCGTTGGTCCAACCGGTCCACATGACCAACTGGCCGGTTGGTCCAAACCGGTCCACAGGACCAACTGGCCGGTTGGTCCAACCGGTCAACATGACCAACTGGCCGGTTGGTCAAACCGGTCCACAAGGACCAACTGGCCGGTTGGTCCAACCCGGTCCACAGGACCAACTGGCCGGTTGGACCAACCGGTCCACAGGACCAACTGGCCGGTTGGTCCAACCGGTCCACAGGACCAACTGGCCGGTGGTCCAACCGTCCACAGGACCGGTCCACAGGACCAACAGGCCGGTTGGTCCAACCGGTCCACAGGACCAACTGGCCGGTTGGTCCAACCGGTCCACAGGACCAACTGGCCGGTTGGTCCAACCGGTCCACAGGACCAACTGGCCGGTTGGTCCAACCGGTCCACAGGACCAACTGGCCGGTTGGTCCAACCGGTCCACAGGACCAACAGGCCGGTTGGTCCAACCGGTCCACAGGACCAACTGGCCGGTTGGTCCAACCGGTCCACAGGACCAACTGGCCGGTTGGTCCAACCGGTCCACAGGACCAACTGGCCGGTTGGTCCAACCGGTCCACAGGACCAACTGGCCGGTTGGTCCAACCGGTCCACAGGACCAACTGGCCGGTTGGTCCAACCGGTCCACAGGACCAACTGGCCGGTTGGTCCAACCGGTCCACAGGACCAACTGGCCGGTTGGTCCAACCGGTCCACAGGACCAACTGGCCGGTTGGTCCAACCGGTCCACAGGACCAACAGGCCGGTTGGTCCAACCGGTCCACATGACCAACTGGCCGGTTGGTCCAACCGGTCCACAGGACCAACTGGCCGGTTGGACCAACCGGTCCACTGGACCAACTGGCCGTTGGTCCAACCGGTCCACAGGACCAACCTGGCCGGTTGGACCAAACCGGGTCCACAGGACCAACTGGCCTCCAACCGGTCCACAGGACCAACAGGCCGGTTGGTCCAACCGGTCCACAGGACCAACAGGCCGGTTGGTCCAACCGGTCCACAGGACCAACAGGCCGGTTGGTCCAACCGGTCCACATGACCAACTGGCCGGTTGGTCAAAACCGGTCCACAGGACCCAAACTGGCGGTGGTCCAACCGGTCCACAGGACCAACTGGCCGGTTGGACCAACCGGTCCACAGGACCAACTGGCGGTTGGTCAACCGGTCCACAGGACCAACTGGCCGGTTGGTCCCAACCGGTCCACAGGACCAACTGGCCGGTTGGTCCAAACCGGTCCACATGACCAACTGGCCGGTTGGTCAAAACCGGTCCACAGGACCAACTGGCCGGTTGGTCCCAACCGGTCCACAGGACCAACTGGCCGGTTGGTCCAACCGGTCCACAGGACCAACAGGCCGGTTGGTCCAACCGGTCCACATGACCAACTGGCCGGTTGGTCCAACCGGTCCACATGACCAACAGGCCGGTTGGTCCAACCGGTCCACAGGACCAACTGGCCGGTTGGTCCAACCGGTCCACAGGACCAACAGGCCGGTTGGTCCAACCGGTCCACAGGACCAACAGGCCGGTTGGTCTAACCGGTCCACAGGACCAACAGGCCGGTTGGTCCAACCGGTCCACATGACCAACTGGCCGGTTGGTCAACCGGTCCACAGGACCAACTGGCCGGTTGGTCCAACCGGTCCACAGGACCAACTGGCCGGTTGGACCAACCGGTCCACAGGACCAACTGGCCGGTTGGTCCAACCGGTCCACAGGACCAACTGGCCGGTTGGTCCAACCGTTCCACAGGACCAACTGGCCGGTTGGTCCAACCGGTCCACATGACCAACTGGCCGGTTAGTCCAACCGGTCCACAGGACCAACTGGCCGGTTGGACCAACCGGTCCACAGGACCAACTGGCCGGTTGGTCCAACCGGTCCACAGGACCAACTGGCCGGTTGGTCAAACCGGTCCACAGGACCAACAGGCCGGTTGGACCAACCGGTCCACAGGACCAACTGGCCGGTTGGTCCAACCGGTCCACAGGACCAACAGGCCGGTTGGACCAACCGGTCCACAGGACCAACTGGCCGGTTGGTCCAACCGGTCCACAGGACCAACTGGCCGGTTGGTCAAACCGGTCCACAGGACCAACAGGCCGGTTGGTCCAACCGGTCCACAGGACCAACTGGCCGGTTGGTCCAACCGGTCCACAGGACCAACAGGCCGGTTGGTCCAACCGGTCCACAGGACCAACAGGCCGGTTGGTCCAACCGGTCCACAGGACCAACAGGCCGGTTGGTCCAACCGGTCCACATGACCAACTGGCCGGTTGGTCAAACCGGTCCACAGGACCAACTGGCCGGTTGGTCCAACCGGTCCACAGGACCAACTGGCCGGTTGGTCCAACCGGTCCACAGGACCAACTGGCCGGTTGGTCCAACCGGTCCACATGACCAGCTGGCCGGTTGGTCAAACCGGTCCACAGGACCAACTGGCCGGTTGGTCCAACCGGTCAACATGACCAACTGGCCGGTTGGTCAAACCGGTCCACAAGACCAACTGGCCGGTTGGTCCAACCGGTCCACAGGACCAACTGGCCGGTTGGACCAACCGGTCCACAGGACCAACAGGCCGGTTGGTCCAACCGGTCCACAGGACCAACTGGCCGGTTGGTCCAACCGGTCCACAGGACCAACAGGCCGGTTGGTCCAACCGGTCCACAGGACCAACTGGCCGGTTGGTCCAACCGGTCCACAGGACCAACAGGCCGGTTGGTCCAACCGGTCCACAGGACCAACAGGCCGGTTGGTCCAACCGGTCCACAGGACCAACAGGCCGGTTGGTCCAACCGGTCCACATGACCAACTGGCCGGTTGGTCAAACCGGTCCACAGGACCAACTGGCCGGTTGGTCCAACCGGTCCACAGGACCAACTGGCCGGTTGGACCAACCGGTCCACAGGACCAACTGGCCGGTTGGTCCAACCGGTCCACAGGACCAACTGGCCGGTTGGTCCAACCGGTCCACAGGACCAACTGGCCGGTTGGTCCAACCGGTCCACATGACCAACTGGCCGGTTGGTCAAACCGGTCCACAGGACCAACTGGCCGGTTGGACCAACCGGTCCACAGGACCAACAGGCCGGTTGGTCCAACCGGTCCACATGACCAACTGGCCGGTTGGTCCAACCGGTCCACATGACCAACTGGCCGGTTGGTCCAACCGGTCCACAGGACCAACTGGCCGGTTGGTCCAACCGGTCCACAGGACCAACAGGCCGGTTGGACCAACCGGTCCACAGGACCAACTGGCCGGTTGGTCCAACCGGTCCACAGGACCAACTGGCCGGTTGGTCAAACCGGTCCACAGGACCAACAGGCCGGTTGGACCAACCGGTCCACAGGACCAACTGGCCGGTTGGTCCAACCGGTCCACAGGACCAACAGGCCGGTTGGTCCAACCGGTCCACATGACCAACTGGCCGGTTGGTCCAACCGGTCCACAGGACCAACTGGCCGGTTGGACCAACCGGTCCACAGGACCAACAGGCCGGTTGGTCCAACCGGTCCACATGACCAATTGGCCGGTTGGTCCAACCGGTCCGCATGACCAACTGGCCGGTTGGTCCAACCGGTCCACAGGACCAACTGGCTGGTTGGTCCAACCGGTCCACAGGACCAACAGGCCGGTTGGACCAACCGGTCCACAGGACCAACTCGCCGGTTGGTCCAACCGGTCCACAGGACCAACTGGCCGGTTGGTCAAACCGGTCCACAGGACCAACAGGCCGGTTGGTCCAACCGGTCCACAGGACCAACAGGCCGGTTGGACCAACCGGTCCACAGGACCAACTGGTCCACAGGACCAACTGGCCGGTTGGTCCAACCGGTCCACAGGACCAACTGGCCGGTTGGACCAACCGGTCCACAGGACCAACTGGCCGGTTGGACCAACCGGTCCACATGACCAACAGGCCGGTTGGTCCAACCGGTCCACAGGACCAACTGGCCGGTTGGTCCAACCGGTCCACATGACCAACTGGCCGGTTGGTCCAACCGGTCCACAGGACCAACTGGCCGGTTGGTCCAACCGGTCCACATGACCAACTGGCCGGTTGGTCAAACCGGTCCACAGGACCAACTGGCCGGTTGGTCCAACCGGTCCACAGGACCAACAGGCCGGTTGGTCCAACCGGTCCACAGGACCAACAGGCCGGTTGGTCCAACCGGTCCACAGGACCAACTGGCCGGTTGGTCCAACCGGTCCACAGGACCAACAGGCCGGTTGGACCAACCGGTCCACAGGACCAACTGGCCGGTTGGTCCAACCGGTCCACAGGACCAACTGGCCGGTTGGTCAAACCGGTCCACAGGACCAACAGGCCGGTTGGACCAACCGGTCCACAGGACCAACTGGCCGGTTGGTCCAACCGGTCCACAGGACCAACAGGCCGGTTGGTCCAACCGGTCCACATGACCAACTGGCCGGTTGGTCCAACCGGTCCACAGGACCAACTGGCCGGTTGGACCAACCGGTCCACAGGACCAACAGGCCGGTTGGTCCAACCGGTCCACATGACCAACTGGCCGGTTGGTCCAACCGGTCCACATGACCAACTGGCCGGTTGGTCCAACCGGTCCACAGGACCAACAGGCCGGTTGGTCCAACCGGTCCACAGGACCAACAGGCCGGTTGGTCCAACCGGTCCACAGGACCAACAGGCCGGTTGGTCCAACCGGTCCACATGACCAACTGGCCGGTTGGTCAAACCGGTCCACAGGACCAACTGGCCGGTTGGTCCAACCGGTCCACAGGACCAACTGGCCGGTTGGACCAACCGGTCCACAGGACCAACTGGCCGGTTGGTCCAACCGGTCCACAGGACCAACTGGCCGGTTGGTCCAACCGGTCCACAGGACCAACTGGCCGGTTGGTCCAACCGGTCCACATGACCAACTGGCCGGTTGGTCAAACCGGTCCACAGGACCAACTGGCCGGTTGGACCAACCGGTCCACAGGACCAACAGGCCGGTTGGTCCAACCGGTCCACATGACCAACTGGCCGGTTGGTCCAACCGGTCCACATGACCAACTGGCCGGTTGGTCGAACCGGTCCACAGGACCAACTGGCCGGTTGGTCCAACCGGTCCACAGGACCAACAGGCCGGTTGGACCAACCGGTCCACAGCACCAACTGGCCGGTTGGTCCAACCGGTCCACAGGACCAACTGGCCGGTTGGTCAAACCGGTCCACAGGACCAACAGGCCGGTTGGACCAACCAGTCCACAGGACCAACTGGCCGGTTGGTCCAACCGGTCCACAGGACCAACAGGCCGGTTGGTCCAACCGGTCCACATGACCAACTGGCCGGTTGGTCCAACCGGTCCACAGGACCAACTGGCCGGTTGGACCAACCGGTCCACAGGACCAACAGGCCGGTTGGTCCAACCGGTCCACATGACCAATTGGCCGGTTGGTCCAACCGGTCCGCATGACCAACTGGCCGGTTGGTCCAACCGGTCCACAGGACCAACTGGCCGGTTGGTCCAACCGGTCCACAGGACCAACAGGCCGGTTGGACCAACCGGTCCACAGGACCAACTGGCCGGTTGGTCCAACCGGTCCACAGGACCAACTGGCCGGTTGGTCAAACCGGTCCACAGGACCAACAGGCCGGTTGGTCCAACCGGTCCACAGGACCAACTGGCCGGTTGGACCAACCGGTCCACAGGACCAACTGGCCGGTTGGTCCAACCGGTCCACAGGACCAACTGGCCGGTTGGACCAACCGGTCCACAGGACCAACTGGCCGGTTGGACCAACCGGTCCACATGACCAACAGGCCGGTTGGTCCAACCGGTCCACAGGACCAACTAGCCGGTTGGTCCAACCGGTCCACATGACCAACTGGCCGGTTGGTCCAACCGGTCCACAGGACCAACTGGCCGGTTGGTCCAACCGGTCCACATGACCAACTGGCCGGTTGGTCAAACCGGTCCACAGGACCAACTGGCCGGTTGGTCCAACCGGTCCACAGGACCAACAGGCCGGTTGGTCCAACCGGTCCACAGGACCAACAGGCCGGTTGGTCCAACCGGTCCACAGGACCAACTGGCCGGTTGGTCCAACCGGTCCACAGGACCAACAGGCCGGTTGGACCAACCGGTCCACAGGACCAACTGGCCGGTTGGTCCAACCGGTCCACAGGACCAACTGGCCGGTTGGTCAAACCGGTCCACAGGACCAACAGGCCGGTTGGACCAACCGGTCCACAGGACCAACTGGCCGGTTGGTCCAACCGGTCCACAGGACCAACAGGCCGGTTGGTCCAACCGGTCCACATGACCAACTGGCCGGTTGGTCCAACCGGTCCACAGGACCAACTGGCCGGTTGGTCAAACCGGTCCACAGGACCAACAGGCCGGTTGGTCCAACCGGTCCACAGGACCAACAGGCCGGTTGGACCAACCGGTCCACAGGTCCAACTGGCCGGTTGGTCCAACCGGTCCACAGGACCAACTGGCCGGTTGGACCAACCGGTCCACAGGACCAACTGGCCGGTTGGACCAACCGGTCCACATGACCAACAGGCCGGTTGGTCCAACCGGTCCACAGGACCAACTGGCCGGTTGGTCCAACCGGTCCACATGACCAACTGGCCGGTTGGTCCAACCGGTCCACAGGACCAACTGGCCGGTTGGTCCAACCGGTCCACATGACCAACTGGCCGGTTGGTCCAACCGGTCCACAGGACCAACTGGCCGGTTGGACCAACCGGTCCACAGGACCAACTGGCCGGTTGGACCAACCGGTCCACAGGACCAACTGGCCGGTTGGACCAACCGGTCCACATGACCAACAGGTCGGTTGGTCCAACCGGTCCACAGGACCAACTGGCCGGTTGGACCAACCGGTCCACAGGACCAACTGGCCGGTTGGTCCAACCGGTCCACAGGACCAACTGGCCGGTTGGTCCAACCGGTCCACATGACCAACTGGCCGGTTGGTCCAACCGGTCCACAGGACCAACTGGCCGGTTGGACCAACCGGTCCACAGGACCAACTAGCCGGTTGGTCCAACCGGTCCACAGGACCAACAGGCCGGTTGGTCCAACCGGTCCACAGGACCAACAGGCCGGTTGGACCAACCGGTCCACAGGACCAACTGGCCGGTTGGTCCAACCGGTCCACAGGACCAACTGGCCGGTTGGACCAACCGGTCCACAGGACCAACTGGCCGGTTGGTCCAACCGGTCCACATGACCAACTGGCCGGTTGGACCAACCGGTCCACATGACCAACAGGCCGGTTGGTCCAACCGGTCCACAGGACCAACTGGCCGGTTGGTCCAACCGGTCCACATGACCAACTGGCCGGTTGGTCCAACCGGTCCACAGGACCAACTGGCCGGTTGGACCAACCGGTCCACAGGACCAACTGGCCGGTTGGTCCAACCGGTCCACAGGACCAACTGGCCGGTTGGTCAAACCGGTCCACAGGACCAACAGGCCGGTTGGACCAACCGGTCCACAGGACCAACTGGCCGGTTGGTCCAACCGGTCCACAGGACCAACAGGCCAGTTGGACCAACCGGTCCACAGGACCAACTGGCCGGTTGGTCCAACCGGTCCACAGGACCAACTGGCCGGTTGGTCAAACCGGTCCACAGGACCAACAGGCCGGTTGGTCCAACCGGTCCACAGGACCAACTGGCCGGTTGGTCCAACCGGTCCACAGGACCAACAGGCCGGTTGGTCCAACCGGTCCACAGGACCAACAGACCGGTTGGTCCAACCGGTCCACAGGACCAACAGGCCGGTTGGTCCAACCGGTCCACATGACCAACTGGCCGGTTGGTCAAACCGGTCCACAGGACCAACAGGCCGGTTGGTCCAACCGGTCCACAGGACCAACTGGCCGGTTGGTCCAACCGGTCCACAGGACCAACAGGCCGGTTGGTCAAACCGGTCCACAGGACCAACAGGCCGGTTGGTCCAACCGGTCCACAGGACCAACAGGCCGGTTGGTCCAACCGGTCCACAGGACCAACTGGCCGGTTGGTCCAACCGGTCCACAGGACCAACTGGCCGGTTGGTCCAACCGGTCCACATGACCAACTGGCCGGTTGGTCCAACCGGTCCACAGGACCAACTGGCCGGTTGGTCCAACCGGTCCACAGGACCAACAGGCCGGTTGGACCAACCGGTCCACAGGACCAACTGGCCGGTTGGTCCAACCGGTCCACAGGACCAACTGGCCGGTTGGTCAAACCGGTCCACAGGACCAACAGGCCGGTTGGTCCAACCGGTCCACAGGACCAACAGGCCGGTTGGACCAACCGGTCCACAGGACCAACTGGCCGGTTGGTCCAACCGGTCCACAGGACCAACTGGCCGGTTGGACCAACCGGTCCACAGGACCAACTGGCCGGTTGGACCAACCGGTCCACATGACCAACAGGCCGGTTGGTCAAACCGGTCCACAGGACCAACAGGCCGGTTGGACCAACCGGTCCACAGGACCAACAGGCCGGTTGGTCCAACCGGTCCACAGGACCAACTGGCCGGTTGGTCCAACCGGTCCACAGGACCAACTGGCCGGTTGGACCAACCGGTCCACAGGACCAACTGGCCGGTTGGACCAACCGGTCCACAGGACCAACTGACCGGTTGGACCAACCGGTCCACATGACCAACAGGCCGGTTGGTCCAACCGGTCCACAGGACCAACTGGCCGGTTGGTCCAACCGGTCCACATGACCAACTGGCCGGTTGGTCCAACCGGTCCACAGGACCAACTGGCCGGTTGGTCCAACCGGTCCACATGACCAACTGGCCGGTTGGTCACCAACTGGCCGGTTGGTCAAACCGGTCCACAGGACCAACTGGCCGGTTGGTCCAACCGGTCCACAGGACCAACAGGCCGGTTGGTCCAACCGGTCCACAGGACCAACTGGCCGGTTGGTCCAACCGGTCCACATGACCAACTAGCCGGTTGGTCCAACCGGTCCACAGGACCAACTGGCCGGTTGGACCAACCGGTCCACAGGACCAACTGGCCGGTTGGACCAACCGGTCCACAGGACCAACTGGCCGGTTGGTCCAACCGGTCCACAGGACCAACAGGCCGGTTGGTCCAACCGGTCCACAGGACCAACAGGCCGGTTGGTCCAACCGGTCCACAGGACCAACAGGCCGGTTGGTCCAACCGGTCCACATGACCAACTGGCCGGTTGGTCAAACCGGTCCACATGACCAACAGGCCGGTTGGTCCAACCGGTCCACAGGACCAACTGGCCGGTTGGTCCAACCGGTCCACAGGACCAACAGGCCGGTTGGTCAAACCGGTCCACAGGACCAACAGGCCGGTTGGTCCAACCGGTCCACAGGACCAACAGGCCGGTTGGTCCAACCGGTCCACAGGACCAACTGGCCGGTTGGTCCAACCGGTCCACAGGACCAACTGGCCGGTTGGTCCAACCGGTCCACATGACCAACAGGCCGGTTGGTCCAACCGGTCCACAGGACCAACTGGCCGGTTGGTCCAACCGGTCCACAGGACCAACAGGCCGGTTGGACCAACCGCTCCACAGGACCAACTGGCCGGTTGGTCCAACCGGTCCACAGGACCAACTGGCCGGTTGGTCAAACCGGTCCACAGGACCAACAGGCCGGTTGGTCCAACCGGTCCACAGGACCAACAGGCCGGTTGGACCAACCGGTCCACAGGACCAACTGGCCGGTTGGTCCAACCGGTCCACAGGACCAACTGGCCGGTTGGACCAACCAGTCCACAGGACCAACTGGCCGGTTGGACCAACCGGTCCACATGACCAACAGGCCGGTTGGTCAAACCGGTCCACAGGACCAACAGGCCGGTTGGTCCAACCGGTCCACAGGACCAACAGGCCGGTTGGTCCAACCGGTCCACAGGACCAACTGGCCGGTTGGTCCAACCGGTCCACAGGACCAACTGGCCGGTTGGACCAACCGGTCCACAGGACCAACTGGCCGGTTGGACCAACCGGTCCACAGGACCAACTGGCCGGTTGGACCAACCGGTCCACATGACCAACAGGCCGGTTGGTCCAACCGGTCCACAGGACCAACTGGCCGGTTGGTCCAACCGGTCCACATGACCAACTGGCCGGTTGGTCCAACCAGTCCACAGGACCAACTGGCCGGTTGGTCCAACCGGTCCACATGACCAACTGGCCGGTTGGTCAAACCGGTCCACAGGACCAACTGGCCGGTTGGTCCAACCGGTCCACAGGACCAACAGGCCGGTTGGTCCAACCGGTCCACAGGACCAACTGGCCGGTTGGTCCAACCGGTCCACATGACCAACTGGCCGGTTGGTCCAACCGGTCCACAGGACCAACTGGCCGGTTGGACCAACCGGTCCACAGGACCAACTGGCCGGTTGGACCAACCGGTCCACATGACCAACAGGCCGGTTGGTCCAACCGGTCCACAGGACCAACTGGCCGGTTGGTCCAACCGGTCCACATGACCAACTGGCCGGTTGGTCCAACCGGTCCACAGGACCAACTGGCCGGTTGGTCCAACCGGTCCACATGACCAACTGGCCGGTTGGTCAAACCGGTCCACAGGACCAACTGGCCGGTTGGTCCAACCGGTCCACAGGACCAACAGGCCGGTTGGTCCAACCGGTCCACAGGACCAACTGGCCGGTTGGTCCAACCGGTCCACATGACCAACTGGCCGGTTGGTCCAACCGGTCCACAGGACCAACTGGCCGGTTGGACCAACCGGTCCACAGGACCAACTGGCCGGTTAGACCAACCGGTCCGCAGGACCAACTGGCCGGTTGGACCAACCGGTCCACATGACCAACAGGCCGGTTGGTCCAACCGGTCCACAGGACCAACTGGCCGGTTGGACCAACCGGTCCACAGGACCAACTGGCCGGTTGGTCCAACCGGTCCACAGGACCAACTGGCCGGTTGGTCCAACCGGTCCACATGACCAACTGGCCGGTTGGTCAAACCGGTCCACAGGACCAACTGGCCGGTTGGTCCAACCGGTCCACAGGACCAACAGGCCGGTTGGACCAACCGGTCCACAGGACCAACTGGCCGGTTGGTCCAACCGGTCCACAGGACCAACTGGCCGGTTGGTCAAACCGGTCCACAGGACCAACAGGCCGGTTGGTCCAACCGGTCCACAGGACCAACAGGCCGGTTGGACCAACCGGTCCACAGGACCAACTGGCCGGTTGGTCCAACCGGTCCACAGGACCAACTGGCCGGTTGGACCAACCGGTCCACAGGACCAACTGGCCGGTTGGACCAACCGGTCCACATGACCAACAGGCCGGTTGGTCAAACCGGTCCACAGGACCAACAGGCCGGTTGGACCAACCGGTCCACAGGACCAACAGGCCGGTTGGTCCAACCGGTCCACAGGACCAACTGGCCGGTTGGTCCAACCGGTCCACAGGACCAACTGGCCGGTTGGACCAACCGGTCCACAGGACCAACTGGCCGGTTGGACCAACCGGTCCACAGGACCAACTGACCGGTTGGACCAACCGGTCCACATGACCAACAGGCCGGTTGGTCCAACCGGTCCACAGGACCAACTGGCCGGTTGGTCCAACCGGTCCACATGACCAACTGGCCGGTTGGTCCAACCGGTCCACAGGACCAACTGGCCGGTTGGTCCAACCGGTCCACATGACCAACTGGCCGGTTGGTCAAACCGGTCCACAGGACCAACTGGCCGGTTGGTCCAACCGGTCCACAGGACCAACAGGCCGGTTGGTCCAACCGGTCCACAGGACCAACTGGCCGGTTGGTCCAACCGGTCCACATGACCAACTAGCCGGTTGGTCCAACCGGTCCACAGGACCAACTGGCCGGTTGGACCAACCGGTCCACAGGACCAACTGGCCGGTTGGACCAACCGGTCCACAGGACCAACTGGCCGGTTGGTCCAACCGGTCCACAGGACCAACAGGCCGGTTGGTCCAACCGGTCCACAGGACCAACAGGCCGGTTGGTCCAACCGGTCCACAGGACCAACAGGCCGGTTGGTCCAACCGGTCCACATGACCAACTGGCCGGTTGGTCAAACCGGTCCACATGACCAACAGGCCGGTTGGTCCAACCGGTCCACAGGACCAACTGGCCGGTTGGTCCAACCGGTCCACAGGACCAACAGGCCGGTTGGTCAAACCGGTCCACAGGACCAACAGGCCGGTTGGTCCAACCGGTCCACAGGACCAACAGGCCGGTTGGTCCAACCGGTCCACAGGACCAACTGGCCGGTTGGTCCAACCGGTCCACAGGACCAACTGGCCGGTTGGTCCAACCGGTCCACATGACCAACTGGCCGGTTGGTCCAACCGGTCCACAGGACCAACTGGCCGGTTGGTCCAACCGGTCCACAGGACCAACAGGCCGGTTGGACCAACCGCTCCACAGGACCAACTGGCCGGTTGGTCCAACCGGTCCACAGGACCAACTGGCCGGTTGGTCAAACCGGTCCACAGGACCAACAGGCCGGTTGGTCCAACCGGTCCACAGGACCAACAGGCCGGTTGGACCAACCGGTCCACAGGACCAACTGGCCGGTTGGTCCAACCGGTCCACAGGACCAACTGGCCGGTTGGACCAACCAGTCCACAGGACCAACTGGCCGGTTGGACCAACCGGTCCACATGACCAACAGGCCGGTTGGTCAAACCGGTCCACAGGACCAACAGGCCGGTTGGTCCAACCGGTCCACAGGACCAACAGGCCGGTTGGTCCAACCGGTCCACAGGACCAACTGGCCGGTTGGTCCAACCGGTCCACAGGACCAACTGGCCGGTTGGACCAACCGGTCCACAGGACCAACTGGCCGGTTGGACCAACCGGTCCACAGGACCAACTGGCCGGTTGGACCAACCGGTCCACATGACCAACAGGCCGGTTGGTCCAACCGGTCCACAGGACCAACTGGCCGGTTGGTCCAACCGGTCCACATGACCAACTGGCCGGTTGGTCCAACCAGTCCACAGGACCAACTGGCCGGTTGGTCCAACCGGTCCACATGACCAACTGGCCGGTTGGTCAAACCGGTCCACAGGACCAACTGGCCGGTTGGTCCAACCGGTCCACAGGACCAACAGGCCGGTTGGTCCAACCGGTCCACAGGACCAACTGGCCGGTTGGTCCAACCGGTCCACATGACCAACTGGCCGGTTGGTCCAACCGGTCCACAGGACCAACTGGCCGGTTGGACCAACCGGTCCACAGGACCAACTGGCCGGTTGGACCAACCGGTCCACATGACCAACAGGCCGGTTGGTCCAACCGGTCCACAGGACCAACTGGCCGGTTGGTCCAACCGGTCCACATGACCAACTGGCCGGTTGGTCCAACCGGTCCACAGGACCAACTGGCCGGTTGGTCCAACCGGTCCACATGACCAACTGGCCGGTTGGTCAAACCGGTCCACAGGACCAACTGGCCGGTTGGTCCAACCGGTCCACAGGACCAACAGGCCGGTTGGTCCAACCGGTCCACAGGACCAACTGGCCGGTTGGTCCAACCGGTCCACATGACCAACTGGCCGGTTGGTCCAACCGGTCCACAGGACCAACTGGCCGGTTGGACCAACCGGTCCACAGGACCAACTGGCCGGTTAGACCAACCGGTCCGCAGGACCAACTGGCCGGTTGGACCAACCGGTCCACATGACCAACAGGCCGGTTGGTCCAACCGGTCCACAGGACCAACTGGCCGGTTGGACCAACCGGTCCACACGACCAACTGGCCGGTTGGTCCAACCGGTCCACAGGACCAACTGGCCGGTTGGTCCAACCGGTCCACATGACCAACTGGCCGGTTGGTCAAACCGGTCCACAGGACCAACTGGCCGGTTGGTCCAACCGGTCCACAGGACCAACTGGCCGGTTGGACCAACCGGTCCACAGGACCAACTGGCCGGTTGGTCCAACCGGTCCACAGGACCAACTGGCCGGTTGGTCCAACCGGTCCACAGGACCAACAGGCCGGTTGGACCAACCGGTCCACAGGACCAACTGGCCGGTTGGTCCAACCGGTCCACAGGACCAACTGGCCGGTTGGACCAACCGGTCCACAGGACCAACAGGCCGGTTGGTCCAACCGGTCCACATGACCAACTGGCCGGTTGGACCAACCGGTCCACATGACCAACAGGCCGGTTGGTCCGACCGGTCCACAGGACCAACTGGCCGGTTGGTCCAACCGGTCCACATGACCAACTGGCCGGTTGGTCCAACCGGTCCACAGGACCAACTGGCCGGTTGGACCAACCGGTCCACAGGACCAACTGGCCGGTTGGTCCAACCGGTCCACAGGACCAACTGGCCGGTTGGTCAAACCGGTCCACAGGACCAACAGGCCGGTTGGACCAACCGGTCCACAGGACCAACTGGCCGGTTGGTCCAACCGGTCCACAGGACCAACAGGCCGGTTGGACCAACCGGTCCACAGGACCAACTGGCCGGTTGGTCCAACCGGTCCACAGGACCAACTGGCCGGTTGGTCAAACCGGTCCACAGGACCAACAGGCCGGTTGGTCCAACCGGTCCACAGGACCAACAGGCCGGTTGGTCCAACCGGTCCACAGGACCAACAGGCCGGTTGGTCCAACCGGTCCACAGGACCAACAGGCCGGTTGGTCCAACCGGTCCACAGGACCAACAGGCCGGTTGGTCCAACCGGTCCACATGACCAACTGGCCGGTTGGTCAAACCGGTCCACAGGACCAACAGGCCGGTTGGTCCAACCGGTCCACAGGACCAACTGGCCGGTTGGTCCAACCGGTCCACAGGACCAACAGGCCGGTTGGTCAAACCGGTCCACAGGACCAACAGGCCGGTTGGTCCAACCGGTCCACAGGACCAACAGGCCGGTTGGTCCAACCGGTCCACAGGATGGTGGGCCTCAAGAACGTGCTTTGGGTGCCCAGCCTTGCTGCAAACCTGATTTCCGTGCGGCGGTTGGCAAAGGCCGGCATGGACACGAACTCGAAGGGAGCCAAGACCTACACCGCAAGGCTTGGCGATCGAATTCTTTGGGACCTTCATGAGGACAGGGATGTCTACAACGAGATGTGGCAGATCCCAGTGGTCCCTATGCCTAAGGAGAGGCAAGTGGCAGCAAGCATCAGCACCAAGGATGGAGCGGTCGGTAGCGACGATGGCGCG